CTGAATCATCTTCCTCAGAGGCGCCATTAGCCACATGCACTGTGAATCCGGCATGCACCAAGATAGACTTCTTCACAATTGGCTACTTTCCTCTTTGACCCCATCTGCATGTCTTGGCACATGCATGTAGGGGTGGTAACGAGCAGAACTTTTCACAAGTTGCTCGAGTTCGGCTCGGTTATAATTCTTAATTTTTTAAATATCAAATAAAAAAATATTTTTATATATAATTTTTTATTTTTATAAAATATCTTTTTCTCAAGATTAAGCTTGAACGGAGCCAAGTCGATCTAGTGCTTATGAATTTTTTACTCAAGCCAAGCTTGAGCTCAAGTTTCAGACTCGAACCAAACTCAAACCATGTAGAACAGTCTCATGCCGAACTTAAACCTCGTACTATTCGGCTTGGTCCGGCTCGAATCCACCCCTACATACATGTAGTTGGATTTTGGAAGCAAAACTACACAGCAAACTTGGGCCACTCTGGAGGAACTCTAAATATGCACCCAGGGCCAGAAGCCAAGCTGGGGTAGTTGATTTGCACCCCGCAGCAAACTTGGGCCCCACCTCCGTGCATACTTTGTTCTAATCCATGCATTTTTGTTGGCTAATCCTCCAGCTCCAACCACAAAGGGTATCAATGTCTTCCATCGATCATTTACATATCTCTCGTGATGTCATTTTCAACGAATCAATTAATGTTCCCATCCACAATCATCTAGCTCCGGCATCTCCTTCTTTTACAACTATTGGCATGCTACCAGTTCTTCCAGCCGTCCACATCTCTGGCCTCCTCCGGTACTATTTGATGCCTCATCGGAATCATCCTCTCTGACAGTTGTCCCATCAATCTCCGCCTCACAAGAGGCCGCCATATAGCGCATTCCCGCCATGTATTAGTTAGGAACATCTCCCGATAACATATCAAAATCATCACCATCGAAAAATGTCTCCAATACACGGCGGGAATGCACTGTGAAGCGGTTGTGGTTGTGGGGGCGGAGATGTGATATCGAAGGATTGATGGGATACTGATGAGGTCCGGCCGGGGTCTTACAACAGATATGGTAGGTGGTGGAGGCACGGAGGTTTGTCAGTAAAGTTGGCGTAGAAATGATCGTAGAATTGACCAATCCACGTGTGGAGTAATAAATAAGACAAGAAAAATCAAATGCCTGGAAAAAAAAAATTAAAAATTAAATTAATGTATTCCTCTGGCTCCACATGTGGAGGAAAACCAGCAGACTGATAGAGGGGTGTTATTTCTAACCCAAAGTGGAGGATTGCACCCAATACCAATGTGTTTTGCCAAATGCACTAACTGTAGCAAAACTAACTTGGGATAATCTGGTTGACGGAAGATTAGGATTCCTTATTCTACAAAATCCCAACGGGAACATCTCTACAAAAAGATAGACCAGTTGTAGGAAAAAATAGCCTTCACTCTTTTAAATCTTTAAAAAACCAGAAATAATTATACAATATGATAAACCATTTCAACGACCTCCCCGCTCTTCATCTTCCTTACTGTTGCCTCTATCTACACTTAATTGATATAAATCCATATCAATATTTAATAGGACAATGGAGACAACTAAAAATTTTGAAAATTCAAATGTTTTAATAATGTTGTGTGTACAAAGAAATTCATCGTATCAAAGTTTTCAATGGCTTAATATATATCTTATTATTACAATTTTTAATTATAAATTTGCATTCTGATGACCATTTTAATATTATGATATTTTCAACAATTATTCAATTTTTCGTCTTATTTCCTTATTTCAGGACTATAAGAAATAGAGAATGTGAACAACAAGAAAAGGATACCTTTATTTTATTCTATGTTATATGACAATTTATCCTTTTTTTTTCTCAACTATTTTTGTTTTTCCATTGTTTAAACAACTTCCAACACACTTTTGTCTTAACCATTGTATATCCTTTAATTATAACACTATTAATTCTTTAATGCAAAGCATATACACATAAAACGGAAATTATCAAATAATTCTTTTTAATTAGGTACCCTAGTAAAATCAAATGTTGAGAATGAATTATACATAATACGGGGTCATTCACTAGAAAGCCCTCAAATTTGTGTGCTTCTCCCTCAAACAAGTGGCATCTTATTTTCTTAAGAAAGAGCATCTCAAAAGTCGTTATTCATTCCTCAAACATGTGTTTACCCACTCACAAATGGTAGTTACTAAAACAAAAACAAACTCATTTCAAGTGATGCAAGATGCATAAAATTGGGTTTTATGTAAAAAGGCAACTCCTCCATTTAATCTCTTAAATTAAATAACAACTTTATATATAAAAAATCAAATAAAATAAAAACATAGAAAATGGGCGTCAAACAAATTTTATTAGAATACATAAATAAAAAATATAAAAATACTGACCGTACTTATATAGTAAGGTGTCATTTCCTAGTTAATTATCCTGAACTGTGGTTTTCACTTCCTATGTTCACTTTTTAATTTAATTTGTAAATGAAATACAATATCTAAGTCTGTTCTAAATCCAAAGGATAGCATTAATGTTTACAATTTCTACTTAAATTTTACTCTTTAAAGCGGCAAAAAAGGATTACTATGCCATTCAACAGAAAATAGAGACCGGTCTTTTGTTATCATTCTTAGTCTCTCTATCGAGAGGTCTTATTCTCTCTATCTATACTACATTATAAAGCCATTAGCTCCCTTCCATTGCCTCTTCTCTCTCTTCTCCTTAAAGCTCTCTCCTTTCTCCCTTACCCCTTTCTAGTTCTCTCATTCACTCTCTCTTTCCTCTGTTTCCCTACCCAATCCATTCATTAAGCCACGTGCCATGGGAGTTAGTTATCAAGCAAAGAAGGAGAGATTTGGTTATATAATATCTAGCAAAGTGGCAACACTATCCCCCACCTTCCCCTAAATTATCTCTACTTCCTATTTATCCTCTCCCACTTTTGATTTATATCTATCTAAACAAAGTTTGAATTAAAAATTTTAACAATTATTTAAACATTATAGTGAAATTATTTAATAAATTTAAAATATTTATTATAAACACAAAAATAATATTTTTTTTGGATTATTCAATTTAATAACTAAACAATATTTTAAAATTTTAAATGAAAAAATTATTTAAATGTTATTCACATAATAACAATTTAAAGCTAAAAATATTATTTAAATATAAATAAATAAATACTTTACATAAAAATATAAAAAAAATAGCTAAATAATTATATAACATAAAATAAATAAAATTTAAATAACAAATTTTAAATATTTTAAATATTATTTGATATTTTAATATTTACTATAAACACAAGAATAATATTTTTATGGATTATTCAATTTCATAACGAAATAATATTTTGAAAATTTAAATGACAAAATTATTTAGACGTTATTCACATAATAAAAATATAAAACTGAAAAATATTATTAAAAGTCTTAAATATTTTACATATTATTTAAATATTTAAATAACTTAATATTTTAAATAACAAAATACTTAACATAACTAAATTTTAAATAGTTAAAATTACGAAATGATATAACAATTTTAAAAAATTTCTAACAAGTAAAAAAGTAATAAAAATAGATTTCATAACATTTGAATTAATAACATAATGAAATTATATAATAATAGTATAAATTATAATTTTAAAAATTATTAAATTCAATAAATAATTAATATTTTAAAAATATAAATAATGACATTATTTGAATAACTAACCAATATTGTAAATAACTAATTTTTAAATATGCTTAATATAAAAAAAATTAATAACTAAATCATGTTTTGAATATTAATTAAGAAATAGGTTAAATAAGGAAATTATGTAATAACTTTAAAAAACAATATTTATTAATAATAATTTTCAAATATTTATCTATATTTATTATATATTTGTATATACTAAAATTAATATTTAGTGTATTTTCAGTAATTATTTATTGTATTTGTGATAAATATATTTTTAACAATTATGTATGAATCTATTTTTGTTTTATTTTAATATAAAATTTTCAATAATTATTGGAGATTAAAATATTATTATTTATCTTTTATTTTAATATGTTGCACTTATTTGATTAATTGTATTTTTGTTATAATTTACTGATTAACATTTTGCTAGAGATTAAACTATAATTGGATATTGCACTATTTATTGACTAATTTAATAATTTATAGTATTTATTGTATTTTCAAAATTATTGTTTTCATTATATATTTGTTAATTATTTGTTGTATTTTTATTATAAATTTATTTTCAATAATTGTGTATTTTCGCTATAAATTCTCAACAACTATTGGAGATTAAACCAACTTGGTTGGATCGGGAAGTTGGTCACCTGAAACTAGATGATCATGGGCTACGTAGCCTAATGGGTTGGCCTGGCTCAACCCATTCAAAAGCGGGCTTGGACAACATTTTAAGCCCACGGGCTCGGGCTCAGGCTTTAAACATCGGGCCTGATTATTTTTTGGGGCAGGCTCGGGCTTTCCCAAATAAGTCCAACCCAACAATATTATATATAGTAAAAAAATATAATATATAATAATAATACATAAAATATATATTATATAATAATAAAATTAGTAGTGAAAAAGGATCAAACCTTATAATGTAAACTTTCAATATAAGGTTTACGGACAAGGCTGAAATCCCAAACATCTTTTCCAGATGGGAACATCTTTTTTGTGCTCTTGAGATCAGTGAAATTGAAGCTTCATGAAGGTAAGTCATTAATAAGTGCAATTTGTTTATCCTATTGATCTTGAGTTGATTCCATCCTATGCCAATCGAAAAATCAACTGAATGCATGGTTGCCATGCCTATTATTGGCATGTTGGCTTCCTCCAATTAAACAGATTGGTAATTAAGAGATTTTCTTTTATCTAGGCCAATAGAACTTAATCGCCAACTAATTAGATATCCTTTGAGTGGACTACTCATATGGAATTTCTAGATGCATACATGTTAGCAACCAAGAGTTCTAATTATAAGTTCTTACATCAGATTTCAGAGTATCAGTAGTAAATTAATGGAGTCTTAACAGAACCACTCATCTTATTATACTTTTGTACTCCAAGAGATACAGGTAAATTAAAGTATCATAATTTATGTAAAATGATCTGAGCACCATATTGGGGTTGAAGAGTTATAACACCCATGGGAGCGTGAGTGTAGGAGGGTGAGAGCTCAAAGGAGAAGTGCTGTAGAATCATGGCCAGTGCCACCTTTGCTTCTGCCATTGCAAAGTTCTGCCCAATGCAAATCCGAGGACCCCAACCAAATGGGAAGAAGGCTTGAGTTTTTGCTGCTTTAGAAACACCTTCATAGAACCTCTCTGGTTTAAATTCTTCCGCGTCTTCACCCCAAAATTCTCGACTATGATGGATGGAAATTATGGGTATCAACAACTGTATTCCAGGAGGCAAACAGGTTTTTCCTAGTTTTATCTTCTTGTCACTGCATCGAGCACTCAAAAACACTGGAGGATATAATCTAAGAACTTCATACAGGATCATGGGCACCTGCATTGGAGGTTAGAGGAACACAAGTTAAATAAATCAACAAATGAACTCTGTATATATACTAGATTGCATTTTCATTCGATCAATTATCAATTTGATATATAATTAATTAAGCAGGGGCACAAGGAGAGTTCTTACAATTTTCAAGCGATTTAGCTGATCAAAATCTGGTTTGTTTTCTCCAAAGATTTCCAAGACCTCTTCCCTTGCTCTTTTTTGCCACACCTGATGCATACTTAATACAACTATTGTCCACAGAAGCAAATTTGCTGTAGTCTCCTGTCCTGCAAAGTAGAATAGCTTGCATTCCTCCATGAGTTCCTCATTACTCATTGCACCATGTTCTTGAATCTCTTTAAAGTTGGATTCTAGTAGCAACCCCAGTAAGTCATCTTTAGTAGCTTCCCCTAATTTTATGGACAGTTCTCTCTGTTTAATGATTCCCCTCAATAGAGCTTCCACCTCCCTATTTATTTCCTTAATCCTTTTGTTCATTTTTGTTGGTAATAATCTGCATAAAAGAATCATGTGGATTACTTAGCATAACTATCAAACTCTTGCAACTACAACTACGTAAAGGATCTCTTTATCATTTATGAAAAGGAGGAAAATGTCAAATTGTCAATAATCTTCTGGATACTTAAAAGGCAAAATATCTGATACTTCATGGTGCAATCTCATAAGCTAAAAGAGGATATTTAACTCCTAATTAATCAGAATTTTGACACATCTCTTTTGGTCATGGCCATAAATTAGCATACTTACATGCAACAATATGTATCAGTATGCGGGCTTAGATCCTAGGAATGGCAATTTCTACCCTACCCGGTGGGTATTCGCCCAGACACGGGGCAGATTGTTTTGCTTGAAGGATGGGTTTTGGTATTCTGCAACCCGTATGGGTAAAGGGTAAGGTACAGTATTCGGCTAAACCCAATCCTCCCCGATGCACATATTGTTGGAAAGCATATAAGTTTTATGTATTAACTCTTGAATTTCATGATATTTTGAATTTTATGTAAAAGATAATTGATAGTTTGTGTTTTCTACATGGTCCTAATCAAATAAATGGAAATTTTGTTGTTTGTTTGTGTTACTTTACTTATTTGTTGCTTATATATAATAAAAAATAATAGGAAATTATATGCGGGCTATAAATCCAACCTGCCTCTACCCCTGAATGCAAGGAGGGTAGGGTTGGGGAAGGGTTTTTCATTTTTTATGTGCAGGGGAGTAAAATCTAACCTGTTACAGGTTTTAGGGTGGGTATGGGTTAAGAGGTTTAGGGAGACAGTCAGGGTCTAGAATTCACAAAACCCTCCCCAAACACACCCTATTGGATCTCTTACTCACAAACAAGCTGTTCCCACATTCCTACCCATGTATATATAATTACAGTTGCACATTGGGAATATCTCCCTTGACATTCATGGGGAGATGTTCTGAATACACGGCAGTGGTGTTTAATGTCATGGGTGTTGCAGTTAACAATTTATGGGTAGCAAATCCGGAGTGATCAGTAGCTAAAAAGCGGGGGAAAGAGAGAGAGTTTAAAATTAGTGTTTAGAAATAATGTAAAAATCGATCAGTTAGAACCCAACTGGACCTGTAACCTGGGATGAATGTGTATATCAAATCCTGAATAATAATCTTGGCGTGTTCATTTAGAAGTTGAAATATACGCATTCCTTCTTCATAGCTTGTGCCAAATGCTGTCCGGGAAATGATATCTCCAGTAAGATTTTGAACTTCCGGCCACATGTCCAATTCACATGAGCCTTCTGGTTCAACCAATTGGTCCCATTTTCTGATCAATTCATTACAACCAGCTAAAAATGCTGGTAGCATCCTCTGTTACAAAGGGAAAAAAGAAACAAAACATTGTTAGAGTAAAATGAGTATTTATGATACAACAAGTTCATTAAGAGAGGGAAATTCTGGTATTTTTTCCAAGTACATTTCTTACTTCTTCCTCACTGATCAAAAAGAAAATATATGTACTTGTATTAGGATATGATGGTTATTAATAAGCCTCAAGATGGTTGCCTTCAGGTTATGTTCGGATTGATTGAAAATAAGAGACAAACAGAAATTTGAGGTAAAGTTCTTAACAAAGTTTCTGAAATTCCTCAAGAACCTTCCTTTCAACTTCTTGCTTCTCTATTATTTCCTGTCAAAGCCAAACATAGCCTCATGTAATGGGTGGGAAAATAAAAATAAAAGTACAAAATAAAGAACAATATTATAGAAAACAACCTTCAACTTCTCTAGATGGAAGGCAGGGGTAATGATCCTTCTATGTTTTGCCCATTTTTCTCCTTCATAGTTTGCAAGCCCAGGTAATAGTTGCTCAGTGAATGGATTATGTAGTTTCTGAAATTGTTCAATTTTGTTAGATAGGATATCCTTTACTTGCTCTGGATCCATGATATGTAATGTAGGAGTTACCCCATACCATACTACTGACATTTTACCTGCATTTTATAATCAGTAATAAACCAACAACCATAAGAACTTATGAATTAGAGACATATGTGAGAGATTATTTATCTAACATAAACTAAAAGCTTGCATTTTAGAGCCAAGGACCTAAAGAATATGTTATTAAGCCAAATCATGTTACATAGTCCATGCCAGTCAATGAAAGATAATTTAATCTTATAAAAGCAAAAAAAAAAAAATGAGCATAAATCCACATGCGACAAGGACAATCAAATAAGTAATTCTACTGTTTTGATGCATCTTATTTTACAAAAGTACTTATGGTTGAAAGATATATATTAGTCTGTGTGAAAATAGAGATGTATAGTTATAGTTCTCTTTCATAAATGTGTTTGCATGTGATTATACAAGAAAATTCAAAATTAACACTCATTTTTTTAATCTTTTATAAGTTTTGGAATAAAAGATACAAAATAATTGTTTCAATAAGAAATAATTATTAATTGCATATTCACTTAGAAGTTGTATGCATGTACCCTTGATGGCTGAATAAGATAACTGGATTCCTCTCCCATCCCATAGAAGTTAGAGCTTAGAAATTATAATTAGGTATAAATTTTTTAATGAAAATTCAAAAAAATAATAAAATTACATAAAAAGAGAAATTGATGTGTGATGATAGATAATAATTATATTGTAGATCTATAGATGATCCATCATTTCCACAAATCCAATAAAATTTTATGTCAAAATTTTGATTTTATTTTTTATTTATTTTAGAAATAAAAATAAATAGAAATTACCTATTTAAATACCAAAAAACAATTACCATGTCATTGATTCTTGTAAATGATTTTTATCTTAGGAAGTTGGATAAATGAATTTTTTTTCCATCTTAGCCTCTTACAAGCAAGATATATCATATATTCTCTACCCATTAGGTGTACAACCAGTTTTGTACGGTTCTTGTCTGCAATTCCGTAAAGTACATTATGGTTTTTCAGATGTTTCTATTCATTTTTCCTACCCACTCTCTACCTGTCGTGAATTTCAGCCACATTCTCTCAATTCACCGGGTAGAAAAAGTGAGTAGGAAATCCTGTTTGGGCAAGCTTTATTGGCCATGCATATTCACCGACAAGTGGGTAGGAAAGTGAGCAGGAAATCCCATTTGGGCAGACTTTATTGCCCATGCATATTCACCAGCAAGCTCCACCTTTGGGCTCTTTAAAAATCAATATTGACACCATTGTATGTTTGGAGGGCATTTCCGCTGGTCTAATTGTTCAGGACCACAATGGTGATTTTCTATTTGCTAGAGCAATACCTAGGGCTGTTCATAACAAGACCCAAACTGACCAAACCAACCAACCCGGTCTGATCCAACCCGAATTGGCCGGTTTTTCTTCAGTACCAATCGGTTTCGGGTTATAAAAGAACAAAAACCGATGGTTCGGTTCAGTTTTCATGTGTGAAAACCGAAACTAAACCGACCCAAACCGACTTAGATATATAATATATTTCAGATATTATATATATATTTCAACTTTATTGCAGAAATATACATATTATATATAAAATTTCTGATATATAAAATATCAGTTTTAATCCATCAAATCATTTTTAATTTCCAGGCATCTAGCCTTTGCTTTCTTAGACTTGAATCCTTTATTGTTCACACCAAGAGAATTATTCACAAAACCGACCCAAACCGATCAGGTCGGTTTTACTTAGTACTGGGTCGGTTTCCATTTCATTTCTAGGTAAACTGACCATGTCGGGTCGGTTGGAAAAACGCCAATAAACCGACTCAACCCGACCCGTGAACAGCCCAAGCAATACCTTACCCTCCTTATGATCCTGAAATGGGTAAGGCATATGCTTTTCCTTTGCCTCAAAAATGCAGTTTTCTGATGTTATATTTGAAGGTCGTGGATGCTCTCACAATTGTCAAGCTTCAAGCTAGGCGGTGACATCTGATCCCTTGGCTACTATGAATATTGGTGGTCAATTGCAAGAGCTTATTTTCTCATCTTCCTTCCTCCTTAGTTTGATTTGTACATAGTATTTGGGTTATGGTTGAACTAGCCAAGGATGCCATGTGGTAGCCTCTGTGGCTAGCTTATCTTCCAAACCACGTCAGCACCACATGGGATAGATAAATGCAACCAAGGAGTGTCCCGCATGGACGAGGGAGTAAATCCTGTTGGGGAAGAGGAGTCATCCCAAAGACCTCAGCAGGCAACCTCATCCCGACAACCCTAGAAGCCTCATTCGAATAAAACATGGACCTCCAATTATAAATAGGTAATCTTCGCCTAGGGTAAGGGACCTTTGGACTTTGAATACCTTTGCTCTACCTTTCTGGTCGGACCAGCACTATTCTTACTTGCTCAGTCTGACCACCTACCCTTCAAATTGATTGACTTGAGCATCGGAGTACCTACACGGGGAATTGTAGATTCCAGTGCATGACTTCGTCCTTCCACCTCGGCCTCATCCAATTGGCAGGACTATTTGACTGCTTCCTCAATTCGGGACACCTCGGATCGAACAACATCACCTAGAAATGCTAATGTTGTTGCCCATACAGTAGCACGTCATGGACTTGTTCTACATTGTACTCATACTTGGTCTATGACTCCTTCATTCTTAGTACAATTGTAGTAATTTTGAACCGAGTCTTGGAATGCAATTAGCCCTTGGGCTTTTTCTCAAAAAACAATCATGAGATAAACCCTAGTTAACACTAATCATGACTAATTAGGTTCTTTCTTCCCCATTGATGGGGAAATCATTCTTTTTCTATTCTCTTCTTTCATGACGAAGTACTCCAATCCTGAGGTAGGGCTGTTCACGGGTCGGGTTGGGTCGGTTTACAGGGGTTTTCCCAACCGACCCGACTTGGTCGGGTTACATGAGGTGGAAACCGAAACCGACCCACTGATAGGCAAAACCGACCTAGTCGGTTTGAGTCGGATTGGGCCGGTTTAGGTCGGTTTCGGTTTTGCTCCTGTACAAAAATGATAGAGAAACCTAGAACTAGAAGGACACCTAATTCTAATTGTAATTGCCTAATGGGTTGCCTATTTGGTGTAAAAGACTAAAAAAATTAGGATAGATACAATTTAGTTAAGTAAGAACTAGAAGATAGGGTTGTTCTAGTTCTAGTAGAAGACTAGTTAAGTAGGCAACTAGGAACTACCGAACTAGAAAACTAATTGGTTCGGTTTATGAATTTGCCCAACCCGAAACCGACCAGTGCTGATGAAAACCCGACCGACTCAGGTTGGATTGGTTCGGGTTGGTCGGGTTGGGCCTTCTTATGAGCAGCCCTACTATGAGGTGCTAAAACATGCTTTAATTAGCAAGTATGCATGGACACCCTCCTCTCCCTAAGAACAAGGAATTTGCTCTACGCTTGTTCAATTTGATAGGTGAGATGTAGGTGACTTCTTTAGACTCAAACCACATTTTGATTTGTTTTTCTACAAAGGAAGATTTTTTTGAAGATCCGGTTGAAAGAGGTGTTTATGATCAAACCTTTCTGATTACTTTCGATGAAATGGACACCAGACTTGGAGTTAGGTTGGGAGATTTCTATAGTTCTAGTTTGCATCAATTTTCAGAGCGAATTTCTTTGCGGAGAACTTGCTTTGATCAATTTGCAATTAATTCTTTTGGGCCTATTCTGAAATCTAACCTAGCCTCAATCACTCTCTCTCTACACTAAAGCAACAAGGGTTTGGGTTCAGCTGGATCTACTCGAAGACCACCCGCAACATGTGTGGATTGGTTCTGGCAAGAAAAGGTTTTGGCAATCGGTTGTTTAAGAGAAACTACCAGATTATTAAACCCATTGTTTCAAGCTTGGACACAAGAATTTGGACTGCAAGTACAATAAGTTGAAGAAGAAAATAGAAATTACCAAGAAAGAAGATGATAAGAAGGATTAGTCATTGGCCATGCTCATCCAAAGGGCAAGAACACTGTATCGACTAAACATCAAGAATAGACACCACACATATATGTCCTAAAAAAGAACTCAATGAAAGACACTCCCAACATGGATTCCCTCATTGTAGATCCTACTACAGGTCCTAGTTCTAAACAAATTGAATCTCTACCAATAGAATCAATTCATGTTGCTCCCATAATTGAAGGGCAATAGGCCAGTAACAACCCTGTCACAACAATTGTAGAAGAAGCAGAACAAACTATCATTGGGGATGATGGTTATATTAAAAATTGAGAAGTGATTTTGAGACCTAGACCCTAGAAAATTTTGGGAATAAAAACACTCAATGAGATGCTATACTTGGTGACAAGTCAAGTGTTTGTGAAAATGATCAATAATAGCTAGGGAGGACGATCAACGTGAGGTAGTTGATATCAAATATTAATTGGAAGATGTTATGGTTAATGTGCTAGAAAGTTAAAATACTTTATGTTTATTTTTTTGTCTCTTTCTGCAGCATGTAAAAGGTAACTTTAGTTAGGTCTTTTTCACCTTTTTGTAAACCTGGGTTAGTAGTAAAAGTGTACAGAAGAAGTTTCTATTTGGCTTGATCAAGAAGCCATCTTCTTGTATTACTCTTGCAAGAAAACTAGAATGCATAAGAAGAAGATTTCAGCCCTTTTCTTGCTCTGTTTTTACTCTTTACCTTACTTCAATCTTCTACATGTAAATCCTCTATTCTAAAATATTTTCTCCATTTTGCATGCACCCATAGTTAGCTAAAACTACAGCCAATACTAATGTTGTTAATTTCAACACAGTCCAAGTTCCTACTTTTTTATGGAGAAGACTATGATTTTTGGTATTATTAAAATGAAAACCTTGTTTTTGTCTCTAGATTTATGGGATATTATTGTCCTTCGATATGAAGAACCAGAAAATGTAGCAAATCTCATAGCAATTCAACAAAAAGAACTAAAGGACAAGAGAAGTAAGAATGCAAGAGCACTTTCAATGATTCAAAGAGGAGTTAGTAAATCTATTTTCCCAAGGATAATGAACACTAAAAAGGCAAAAGGTAAGGGTTGTTAAACTCCAATCTCTTAGAAGAGATTTCGAAAATATGAAATTGAAGAAAAATGAAAATTTAAATGATTATTTCAGTAGATTTAGGGAGTTGATAAATCATATGAAAGCACATGGTGAAAATTTGATGATATGAAGATTGTTGAGAAGATTTTAATTAGTTTACTTGAAAAGTTAGATCCTATTGTGGCTGTCATTGAAGAAACAAACGATCTCATTGAATTAAGTGTTAACAAGTTGTTGACATCACTAAAATCATATGAGCAAAGATTGCCATGCCACTTAAAAAAATCAATAGTGCATTCCATCTCAAACTCAATGTTAGTTTCAAAGATCATGATAGGACATCGTCAACTCATGAAAATGGAAAATGAAACTCTTATGGATGAGGTAGATATGCAAGAGAAAGAGGAAGAAGTAGAAATTCAAAAGGAAGAGGAGAAGTAATTTCGGCAGAAAAACTAGAGATGAAGGGTCATCACAATGGTTTTCTATTTACAAAAGAAGCAACCATGTTGACAAAGATTGTTGGTATAAAGGAAAATTACAATGTTATTATTTGAAAAAGTTTGTGCATTTACAAGAAGATTGTAGACAGAAAAACAAACAGTAAGAAAATTTTATAAAAGAAAAAGAAAAAGGAAATTTGTTTTATGCATGTCAAAGTGTCACAGAGGAAAATAATGGTGTGGTTCTTGGATAGAAGGTGCAGCAATCATATGGTAGGGCACCCAAATATTTTTCTTGACATGGACACATCATTTAGCTCAAAAGTGAAGTTGGGAAATGGAAAAATTGTCGTAGTAAAGAGAAAAGGCACAATAGATGTTGAAACAAAGAAGGGAACGAAACTTATAAATAATGTGTTATTTGTACCTGAGTTGAATGAGAATCTTCTTAGTGTTGGACAGCTTTTGGAGCATGGTTACTCACTCCATTTTGAAGATCCTGGTTGTATCATTTATGACCATGACAAACATGTGGTGAAAAATGTGAAAATAAAGATAAATAGAAGCTTTCCACTAGTATTTAATTATGCAAGAAAGGTTGCTACGAATGCCAATGAGGTTAATGAGTCATGGCTATGGTATAGAAGATTTGGCCATCTAAATTTTAAGGGACTGAAGTTGATATCACAAAAGGAGATGGTTAAAGGGCTTCCAAACATTGAAGAAAAGCATCAAGTTTGTGAAGGTTATGCGCTTGGAAAGCATCACTAACAACTATTTTCAAAAGGAGTTGCATAAAGAACCAACAAAGTGTTGAAATTAGTTCATACCAATTTATGTGGACTCATGAGGACTCTCTTTCATTCCCAAAACAAGTATTTCATTCTTTTTGTTGATGATTATACTCACATGACTTGGGCTTATTTTATGAGGGAAAAATCTGATGTATTTATTATTTTTAAAAAATTTAAATGTCTTGTTAAGAAATAAAGTGATTGTTACATTAAGAAATTGAAAAGTGGTTGTGGCAAGGAGTACACTTCAAATGAATTTGATAAATTTATGAAAATTAAGGTATGAAAATGCAATTTATAGTTTGTTATACTCCTTAAGAAAATTGAGTATCGGAGAGGAAGAATCAAACTATGATGGAGATTGCTAAATCCATGCTACATGGGAAGAAACTTCCCAAAAGTTTTTGCGTTGAAGTTGCTAACACAATTATGTATTTAATGAACCAATGCCCCACTGTTGCTATTAAAGGAATAATTCCATTGGAAGCTTTGAGTGGAAAGAAACCATCGGTTAGACATTTGAAAGTATTTGGGCAGTTATAAGCGGACAGTTTCTAAAATGAGAGTAAAGGACATATATGCCCTCTTTATGCCCATTGTATGTTTAGACAAGGGGAATAGAAAACATCCAATGAAAATTCCATAAAGAAAGGGCATTCACTCTTTTATAGTTAGTATAGATTAGATAAAGGGGTAATTTTTGTTTTTTCACAAGAGATTTGCCTAGTTTATCAAAAATGAGATATGGAGACATTCCCTAAAATAAATATAAGAGATATATGAAATATATTATCACTGTCATTCATTGAAGATTTTATCTACTCCACCATGTTTGTGTCCAACCAAATTTGTATTTGCTTCTAAGTTCTGCTCCAATTTAGATGTGCAGACAGATGGGGGTATAAGGATATTAGATCCTTTCAATTTAGGCTATGTTTGATTTGAAGGAAAAGATAGGGAAAGGAAGGGAAAGGTAAGGAAGCTTATACAAAATTTGTAAAAGTTTCCTTACATTTTTCTTCCTTTCCCTACTTTTTCCTTCAAACCAAACATAGCCTTAGGGAAATGGGGGATGAAGTTTGATGATAGGAAATTCATAGAATCCAAAAAGAATTCTGACTATCCAGACAAATACCACTGCACTAATTGGAACTTTGAATTTCAAGATCCTAAAGCTTATATGATAATAACCCTTTAGTTTTAGATATAAAATCCTATAAAACTAAACAATAAAAACTAACCGAAAATAAAAAAAAAATGAAATCATTTTAGAACATACCATATTTTTTCATTGTATGATCAGTGAGTGGGACAACACGTTGGGTGATATTATGAGAGAGGCTGATGGGCTTGGATTGTGCTTCCTCCTTCATCTTGCGTTCCTCTTTCAGATTTCCATACAACAACCTGTAAGGAGGGCCCTTGATGCCCTGTTTCTTCAAATATTTCTCCAGCTTCATGGGCCTCCACCATATCAAATACAACACTTTCCAGCATGATACGACCAAGATGAAAATTACTACAATTGCAAAAATGAAGGCTAAATCCCTCATCTTTCTTCCCAACAACAGTCACACAGAGAGAAAGGAGATGGTATTTGGTTTTAAAAGGTTCGAGAGTTTAGGCTTAATGTATATATAGTACAATAGTAGCTCTCTTTATACTCAACTCTCAATGGATTATTAATCAATTAAGTGTTAACAACTTGCCATTGGTTGCATGTGAAGTGATGAAAAATGAATGATTCCCTTGCTGCTGTTTTAAAAGCAAATATATTATTAAAATAAATGACTACTTGTATTATAGAGAAATGACACTTCCCAAAGATGTCCATCCTCTCCATTTGTATCTCCTCCCCCATGGAGTCTAAGGCTCCGTTTGGTTTGTGGGAATGAGGTCTGAAATCAGAATCAGAATAGGTTATTCCGATTCCAACTGTTAGGTTGGATGGAATCAGAATCCCATTCCCATTCTTGGCATTTCCCCATTTGAGGGAATGGCCATTCCCTGCCCCTCCCTTGGGAATAAGATCCCATTCCTTCTGATTTCAATTCTCATTTGCATTCCTGTCTAAACCAAATAGACTATGGGAATGGACAATTCCTATTCTGATTCCCGAGGATATCAACCATAAAGTCAATGGTTCTCATAAATGCACATAAGGTACCATAAAGTCAATGGTTCTCACACATGCATATGTGTCCGAAACATCCCGATATGGGCCTGAAACAGTTTGGATCTGTATCATTAACTCATATTTAATACCAAATCTCTCATTAATGTCGTTTATTTAAGTCTAATTTCTCTTTCATTAATTAAAAAATTACTCCAAGGCAGATTTAAATTTAAATTTGAATTTTAGTGCCTAATTCAAATTCTCTCATTAATTCTTGTAATTAATGATCCCCTATCATTAATTTCATTTTAAACTTCAAATTTTAGCTATAGCAAGATTTGAACCTTAGTCACTTGATTTTAACAAACACAAGTTCACCAATGAGCCACACATATTTGTTTGCTATGATTATATGTATTTTTAATTTTAAGTAAATTTTCATTTTTCTTAATGAGTGACAAGTTTTTATTAATAAATGCTAGAATTAGTTATTAAAATTTATATACAAATAAATATTAAAATTAATTATATTGGTTTTTGAAAATTGACATTCACATTTTATTTTATTTTTTTTACATTTTAGTTATTCCATCATTTTTTAACCATTACTAATTATCTCAATATGTTATTCTTTATATAAACCATTAAATTATGGTTTTTTACATTTAAATGACTTATTCACAATCATACAAAATATGTAAATATAGTTAGTAATATATTTTTTAAGATTTATTTGAATTTTTTACCATATTTATGCGTATCTTAAATTTTTGTCCATATCCATATGTATCCAAAGTTTGTATGAATTATACTTTGCATATGCTGATGGATATCCAAAGTTTGTATAGATATGCTGCCAAATATAGAACCAATACATAGTGACAAAGTTGCTGAGCACCTTGCGTGTCCTATACTTTGAACATTGCATGTGTTCTTTTGCAAAGGAAGCATAGAGGGGTAAAGAGTCTGAGGTGGATGATGGTATTTATATTTTCTAGGTAGGACTGAGAGGGCAAGGGAAATTTTCAACAATATTTATACTTTAAGTAATTATAATTTGATTAAATAATTACTAAAATACTGAAATGATTAAATAATTGTAAAACATAAAGTGATAAAAAGAATAAAAATTAGTAAACAATTAATAAACTAGCTTATAATTACTTAAAGTAAGCACTTGATTAAGCTTAATTAGATAAATTAATTTAATTAACATTAACTAATTTCAATTAGTTAATCTATTTAATTAGGAAACTTGATAAGAATTTCTTTTTGGTAACTAAAAAAATTTAAAAAACTTAACAAGATTGAACGTTGGAAGTCAAACTTCAATAATAAGGGTAAATTTTATTAATTCACAAAGGCTCAATACTGCAAGCCTTCTCTTCTAGACAAGTAGCATCGTATTCTTCAAGAGAGAATCAGAAGAGTGGTTATTTTCCACTCTCATATAGAAGCATTCTCTACCCACTTAAAAGAAAAAAATAATAATAATAAGCATCAATTACCTCCGCCGGTAGTTATTTCCAATAAAAAAATATTAAAAAAGTCATTCAAATGATGTAGGATCCATAAAGTGGGTTATTGTTTAGAATAAACCAGTTTTGGTCTTTTAAATTAAATAACTAATTTATATGGCAAAAAAAAAATCAAATAATGAGTTTCAAACAAAAATTATCGATCAGAATACAATCCTCAACTTAGGCCATGCTTGGGAGTGCTTAAAAATAAGTGTTTATTCAAAATAAGTGTTTATTTGGGCCCAAACCACACCATTAAGCACTTATTGGTGTTTGGAAATAAGCTCGAAATAAGAATTTATCTGGGCCCGGATCACACCATTAAGCACTTATTGGTGTTTGGGAAATAAGCTTGAAATAAGTGCTTATTTTAAAAATAAGGACTTATTTTTTCAGCCCAAATTTCCAACTTTTTTAAGTGCTTATACAATAAGCACTTATTCATTTTTTCTTCCAAAATTATTCATAGTTGAATTTTATAAAAGTACTTTTGTAAAAGTGCATTCATAAAAGTAATTTTTTAAAAGTGCTTTTATAAAAATACTTCTGTAAAAGTCTTTTATTAATGTACTTTCATAAAAGTACTTTTACAAAAGTAAAAGCACTTTTATAAAAATAATTTAATAAAAATACTTTCATAAAAGTACTTTTGTAAAACTTGAAAGAAAATGAAAAATAAAATAGTCACAAATAGTTATGTAAGTGCTTATTGGAGAAAAAGATTACCAAATGACCAATACGAAATAAGTGCTTATAAAAGTGCTTATTTTTTAAAATAAGCACTTAAAAAAGTTGGATGTCAAATGCAAATAAGTGCTTATTCGAATAAGCATTTGTTTTTAAGCACTTATTTTTAATATAAACACTCCTAGACATGGCCTGAGTTTGGGTTCAGTCATCTCTAGTGACCTTTAAGAAAGAACAAGAACATGAGGGCAAGTATACACCCCTTTACATGCCTCCAAAGTTATTGCATTGGATGGCTGAATTGATGATAAACTATGCCAAATCAAGGTTACATCGATAAAGGTGTATCAGGCAGTACCAGTAGCTTTTTTTTTTTCAAATCCAGTTCTGAGGGGTCAGTTTAAGGTTTGTCCATCCTCTAAACTGGTTGAAACCCCAAAACACCCCTTGGAGGGGCGCATCAGGAAGCCTCTGATACGACGATATGTATTGACCAATACGACCCGATATGTATCGATATTTTGAACCTTGTGCCAAATGAGCTAATCCTAATTTGGTTCAAAACTGAATCGATTCCAATAGGTTGTTTAAGACCATGTTTGGGAGGGTTTTATGTTAAAAATAAGTGCTTAAAAACAAGTGCTTATTATTTTCATTTGGCACCCAACTTTTTGAAGTGTTTATTTTTTAAAATAAGCACTTATCCTTATGAAAGTACTTTTATAAAAACACTTTTATGACAGTATTTTTATGAAAGCGCTTTTATAAAAACACTTTTAAGAATGCTTTCATAAAAATACTTTTACGAAAGCTTTTTTACGAAAGTACCTTTATAAAAGCACTTTAATAAAAGCACTTCTATAAAAATACTTTTATAAAAGTACTTTTATGAAAATATTTTTATGAAATTACTTTTATAGAATTCAACTAGGGATAATTTTATAAGTGGTATTTTAAAATTAATCTAGGGATAATTTTGGAAGTAAATAATTCAATAAGTGCTTATTGTATAAGGCTATAAACACTTAAAAAAACTGGAAATTTGGGCTTAAAAAATAAGCTGTTATTTTTAAAATAAACAATTATTTCAGACTTATTTCCTAAACACAATTAAGTGTTTAATGATGTAGTCCCGACCCAAATAAGCACTTATTTTTAAGCACTTCCAAACATGTCCTAAGTCCAATAGAGTTATCCCATAATATATATTTAAGTCTATTTAAAAAACTTAAGATATATTTAAGTCTATTATAAAAATAAATAAATTTCTTTCGGTTTTTCTTTTGTTTTGTATGATTTTCAAATATTGATGCATGTGTCATGCGTGAGCCCTATATTTGTTACGTATCATTTTTCTCTAGAAATAAACATGTAACAAGAACTTCTTCTAGAAGTATCTGACTTAAATAGACAAATTTTTATGGTTCTTCCCATCAATCAATTTTTAGGTTTCAGTCATTGTTCATCTAATATAAACTTGTGTGATACATAGGATTGTCAATGGACGGGTGCAGATGGACCAAATCAAATCCATTGTCTGGACCATTCTGGACCAGTCCAATTCATTGTCTGGACCATTAAACCGTTCAAATTGGTTTAATATAGATTGGGTCTAACCAAGGTTCAAAGTATCGATACGATATGAGTTTCAGTCATATCGTATCAGTACTTAGAAATGGCCGAAACTTTTTTTTTTTAATTTTTTTTCACATTTTGATTTTTTGGGAAGCTTTTAGCATGCTTTTTATTATTAAAAAAATTGGGGGTCCAAAACACCTAGAAACAAGCGTTTCAGACCGTATCTTTTTCAAAAGATACGATACCATACACCCTGTATCGGACATGTCGTATCGATACTTTGAACCATGGGTCCAACCAAAACCTGGTCTATTGACACCCATATTCTTATCTTATGTCAATGAACAGGGAATTGATTTAATCTAATCCAATCCAACATAAATCCTTCACAGATGGACCAGGTCCAATCCAATAAATACTTTGGACCATTAAATGGAGGTCAAATCAGCCCCCCACAACGTCCCATAGCACATCCCCATCATGTATTGGGAACATCTCCCGATGATAATACCAAAAATGATGATTTCATCATCGGGAGATGTTATCAATACAAGGAAATGTGTTGTAGGACGTTGTGGGGGGCTGATTTAACCTCCATCTAACCCATTCAAATTGATTTTCATTCAGACAGGGTCTAACCCAAACCCAATCCATTGGCACTCAGACTCTTAATAGTAGAAAAAAAAGTTTCTATCAGATGGATACAAGTTGATAAAAATTATAGAATTATTCTTTTAAAAGTTCAATTACGTTGTATTCACTAATATTGTCTACACATTAAATCCAAATCTCAACCAATATCTTTAAAATCTGATTATTTTTCATTGATTCACATTTAACTAATTGCTTTTTTTTGCTGCATGGTGCCGGAGATGAACAATATGTTTTGCCTTCTTTTAATTTAGGGGCTATTTACGAATTCCTGTTTTCAGAAACCAGATAAATCCCCAATGAAAAGGACTAGAATGACAAATTTTACATAAATTGAAGACTAGAATAAGCAAGGTTCTATATGAAGTTGTATGTCTAATTGGTAGGGTGTTTGTGGCCTAGTTATCTGACCTGGTTTAAACAATGTCGAACCTGTCAGTGATTTTGAAGACCCCAATATCCTAAGGCTGTCAAAGGGTCAGGAATACCTAACAAAAACTGAACTGACCTGACCAAATCATTATGTGGTTTTGTCTTAATCAATTATTGGGTTGGAATGCACAAAAGATAAATTTTATAGATTGTATATAAGATAATTGTGGTTAAAAAAAATAAAAAAACTTAAGGCTTTGTCTGGTTCACAGTCGTAATCAAAATTGAAACTAAAATTGGAATCAAAGTCCTTCAGAATTAGAATCAGAATAATCTATTCTCAAATCTGTTTGGTTCAAACAAGAATCATAATAGGAATTGGAATCAATTAGAATGGGATTTCATTCTCAAAGGAGGAGGGAATGCCCATTTCCTCAAATGGGGGAATGCCCATGATTCCCTCAACCAAACAGTTGGAACCGGAAGGACCCAATTCCAAACCCCTGTTCCCACGAACCAAACAGGCCCTTATTTTATCAATACAATCATTTTATCAAGGCTACATTATCAAAAACAATGTTTTAGTTGTACGATTGGGTTTAGTCATACATTATCAAAAATAATCATTTTATTAAGGCTACATTATCAAAAATAATGATTTTATTAAGGCTACGTTATCAATATAATCATAGATAAGTATGGATATCAAGTAGAATTGGGTTTAGTCATAGCAGACCCAACCCAATTTGTCCCGATTAATAAATGGGATGGTTCTGACTCGATGTCTGTCATATGAAATCAATTAATAATTAATTCGAGACATGTACAGGACAGCTCTGTCCTGAACCAGACAGATCTACCATATCCTATTAATTGCAATCAGAACTCAGAAGCAAGGTCCCGAAGGAAACGGCATACCATACAATAACAATATGATGGTTCCCACTTCCCAAGGATGATGAATTGGCCGGAGCCTTCCAACAGCAAGGATTCATTAATGATTATCGTGTTTGTGGACCAGTTGGTTCAGTACCTCTTGACTGAAGGTAGAACCTTTCCAACATTGGCATTGTTGTTTGAAGTTCAGATTGGCGCCCCACAGAATGTACTCCATTGGCGTCCACATACACATTCCCTTGTACTTGTCATGAGGAGATGTTCTCAACACACCGCTGGATGAGCTGTAGGGCGCTTGTGGGGTACCAATGAGAATTCTGATCTTTGAAAGCATTTGGATTGGAATATCTTGCCTGGTTGCCTATGGGCTATGGCCTATCCCCACTCCCCTATAGATAATGTACAAAGTATAGAGATTATGTTCACCGGGTAACTTTACCCAATTCCCCATAAAACATTACCCTTCTTTGTGTTTAGAGCTGCCTGCTTTCTGCAATCACAGTCACAGAACACACTGACCAGAAAGGCAGAAACTACATTCAAATTAGAGTCCACCTCCTGAAGCCTAAAAGAAGGATTGATCCACCCAGCAGCCAGTATCTGCATGAAACACAGCCTCTTTGGCTATTCTGTGAGACACCTGATTGGTTTGTCTAGGAAGAAGATATGCAAAATAGCATCTAACAGATTTCCAAGAGTTGGGTTTTTTATTTTATTTTTTTTTTTTGGTAATCCCTTCAAGGTACTAATAAGTAATAACCACCGTAAAGTCCAACCCCACAATCACTTTTATCTGCTCCCACTGGCCCTGCCAAGTCCAGAGCTACCTGAACTTTTTGAGATGATGCCCCTTCTTGCTGCAACAAAAGACCGAGACTCAAACAAAGAATACCGCCCAGAAGAACCCGAGATACAAGAGATAGAAGTTTGGAACCACTATCAGAACCGGACAGGACTCTTAAAGATTGAATCTCAACCTATAGAACTAGAAACTAGGAAAACTGGAAAATGATTTGTCCTCGAGAGTTACATTTTACCGACACTACTTGGCTCGCAGATTGCACAAAAAGGAGAGAAGGGACTGTAGTCTGTAGAGAGAGGAAAAATAAATAGTCTGAAGTTTTCAACAGTCGTTTGGCCATGAGGTACATTAAGTCTGAACTACTTTACATGTAAGACATACAGCCTTGTAGCGCTAATAAATATTAAAAAAAGAAAACGTTTCATCCAGAAGTTAGAATCCCATGAAATTTTCCAAATGGAAGTGAAGATTATCAGCATGATTCTCCGAATTGTTGTTAGTAGCAGATCCGGACTCAACTCTATGCCTACCAAAAATAAAATAAAGGTAAAGCAGGCAAATCATTAATCAATAAAGACAATAGCCATTCTAAATTTAAATCCTTGTAGCCCAAGTGATCCTGTTTCAGATCAAAAGTAGAACAAATGAACCAATAGCCTTTTATAATAGGTCTACTACACAAGAATTTAGCCAAAGCAGATTTCATTCAAATTTGAGCTCCCACCCATGATCTAAATGAACACCCTATTCCTAGTCAACCTCCCCCGCTTGTTCACTATAACAAATAATAAGTTTTAAAGGAGATTCTTTCCTGCTCTCTTCTCCTGGTTGATATTCCTGAAAATGTTACACAAAAGCATGGTTTACACAAATATTGGATGCAGTAACACCCAGTAACATCTATTGAACATTCAGTTTTCCAAGCCTCAAGTCGAGCAGCAACCAACTCTCTTCAATGCAGAGACATCATCTTTGCCGACGTTTATTCTCTCTCCTTTGCTGGGGATGGTTGTTGCAGCTCCCTCATCACCTGTCTCCACTGCTTTCTTGCTCACAATATGGTAGATCTGGGTCAGGACCTCAGCAAATGCATTGTCCACATTGGTCGCCTCCAAAGCAGAGGTCTCCATGAAGTAGAGCGACTCCCTCTCAGCAAAGGCTTTCCCATCCTCAGTAGAGACAGCCACAAGATGGCGTAGGTCAGACTTGTTTCCGATGAGCATGACAACAATGTTGGGATCAGTGTGGTCCCTCAACTCCCTCAACCACCTCTCAACATTCTCAAAAGTGGAATGTCGGGTGACATCATATACAAGCAATGCACCAACAGCTCCTCGGTAGTAAGCACTGGTAATAGCTCGGTACCTGTGAAAAAGGAATAAATCAGAAAACCCACCATGCATGTATCCTAGTTGCCAAGATGCTTAAAGATTCAATCAGAAAACCCACCAACAGCTCTCAATTCCTTTCTCTTTCCCCCACTAACCAGTCGACCCTCCTCTTGTTTTTTAATGTTTTTATTGTCATTTTAGTTCTTAAAAAAAATCAATTTTTATTATTGTACTGTGAACCACTGCATGGGTTGAACGGTTCAGACTCAGAGGTTCAACCATCCTCACTTACTGATTCAACAGTCTCTGGGAAATATCTGGGCAGATAAAAAATGGAACCAGATAGGTGACTGGTTCCCAGGTTGAACGTTCAACCACCCGGATCAACAACGGTTCTAAAACCATGCCACAAATAAGGCATGGCTTCATGCTCTCAGAACCAAGGTGAAATCGGTATACATAAAAGCAACAGGAACTGAAATGGAAGAATACAATCTAAGTGCCTACCTGCAGACGGGTATAAGAACCAATAAGTTTTTAAGGATTTAATGTGTAACAACTAACATGCCAGGAGTTGGAAGTATCAGTCTGAAGAGTTAATAAGTTGCAACAACTCAATGTTCCATCACAAAGTAAGAAGCAATAGTACAGTGGGGGTGAAAGGATGAAAAGCTTCAACTAGTGTCCTAGATAGTTTCCATGAAATCCTTCCACAGAAAAATGTGAAAGAGATGAAACAAAAGAAGAGAATAATACATGTGATAATAACAATTTTGTATCAATTTCAAAGCAAGTGATTCACCCTGCCCTAGTAAGCATCATCAGAGTAACTAGGATGAAACAGTACATAGTGACATCAGTTGCAATGTTGGAAAACTCTAGCAGTGAAGCGAATACTGCATAACTGGATAGGCTAATGAACTTTAATGCAAACAAGTGCAATAAATAATATATAACTTCATCCTAAATAAGTGAGTGTAAATAAATAATGACAGAACTTAGTACCTAACCAAGTATATCTATCATATATACACTAAGAATTTCAGAATGGCTACCCAAGTAATTGACTATGAATTTACTTTTTTCATGGACACCAAAGCTCAGAGATACAGAACTGGAATGCCACTCTAAATTGTGATTCTCCCATAAAATAGACATGAAGTAGTAGTTGCATCCAACCATAGTTTTCAAGGCTGCCTAGGCAATGAGATTTTTAGAATAAGCAGTAATCTTTAACTAGTAATTACCATAATCCTCATTAAGTACGAACCCCATATCAAAAGATAGAAAAACAACATATTTACGGAAAAACAAATAGGGAAGAAAAGAAAACATACAAATCATAAGGGCTGAGCCCTTGTTTTGGTCCTAGGAAGAAGAAGATGACAATGACGAAGAAAAGTCATATTGATTGTTCTTGTGTGTCAAATAGGATAAAATCTTCAAATCATTTCTAACTTGTTAATTTAGGTTTTAAAGTCATAAAGAATTCAAGACTGTCACTGAATTGTTTGTCAATTGAACCCAAACAAATAAGAAAATAAAATAATAAAAAGAAACTAGTATAAGAATAATAATATTATTACAATAAACCCACAATATGAATAATTTAGTCTAATAATAATATCTATTGTACTATCATCAATAACAGAAAATTTAAATATAAAAATATTATGCAGTGTCTTGCATATGAATATGAAGGCATTTGGGTGAGGCAACCCTTAAAGAGTGCCTTATCGCCTAGATGTCACCTTGACAACTATGCATTCAACAAGTACAAAAAATGATGATATTTCACTCCATCCAAATTTCCTGACACAAGTAACATTGACATGAATTCTCAAGCTTGTAAGCCCAACACTTTATATCTAGCAATTCTCTTCCTTTCTCACCAAGTTTCTCCTTGCTTCCATAACAGACTGCTTAGCCTTATCATCAGTGTGCATAAAAGGTGATCAAATCACTAATATAAAAAAGGACATCAATTTGAACCAAGAGAAAATAACCGCTTTAGTAATGCTTTGAAGCCCAAGAGAAAATCATCCTACCTCAGCTGCACCCTGTCTACATCATAATCTAAACTCTTTTCTTGCCATTTGATTGATGTCCCCTCATTCTCTTAGGTTGTCTTTGGATTGGGATAGAAAGTGAAAGAAGCACCAGAAGAAAGACAAGCCCTCTGCTTTTCCACTTAGCCCTTCCTATCTGAACATACCCTTAGTTCACCACCTTTTAACCAAGAGCATTCCCACAATGAGGTTGATTCCATTTTCAACAAACAATATAAAAGCCAGTGTTCCAGGGACATGGAGATAGGAATCAGAATCCACCACATGTCAAGAAGTCTGACGCAGCAAAGACAAAGAAACAAGGACTTATGTCCAACAGACATTTCATCCACTTTGGAGAATCCATGAAACACAGCTAAAAGTTGAATCATCCCAAAATAGCCAAAAAAATCATTCTTTATTTACGTTTCATCAAAATAATTCAGGAATTGGCTGTTGTCAATTCCTAGAATGCCCCCCCCCCCCTTTCTAGAAGCTAATTTCTAACGTTTCCCAAACCAACCTTCTGTTTTCCTTCTATTTTGCTGACATAATGCATGGACCTCTAATGAGAGAAGAAACATAACCCAACCAGGAGCAGTTTCACTGTTTTTAGGTTGAGAAAGCAGTGAAATGAAATTACTCTGAGACCCAGTTTCTTTTCTTTTTCTTTTTTTTAATTAATAACTTTCAATTTTATTAATTATATAAACATAGTATGTACATGTACATACAAAAAGCCTTTTTGAGAGTAGTTTCCACTACCTCTCCCCTTCCTTTTCATTTACAATTGTACCCAAAACATATGATCCCTCCCCACCTCTTGCTTTTGCTAGCTTATCTGCCATACTGTTAGAATCCCTTTGTACCAATCTGATTTTCACTTCCTACATCTCAAGTCTACTACCTGAATTTTTTTATCTCATTTGTAGGACCATAATGCTGCTTCTCTGCTCTGCAACCATCCTGTAACAATCTTGAATCACCTTCTACAATCAATTTCTTTATGTTCATATTCCTTGCCATTATCGTCCCTTCCTTTACAGCCATAATATCAGCCATTAGCAAGTCTCCTGCCCCAATTGGTCATGTAAACAAGAAATAACATGTCCTTTTTCATTTCTGAATACACTTCCCTCTTAGACAGCCCCAGATTCCTCATACTACCATGAAGCCTTTTTTTTTCTGGTGGCATCCATTCTCTATAAGCTGTAGTCTTTTTCAATGATGTCCCCCATGCTTCCTTCCAATTTCTAATAATATCATCTATTGAATAAGATGAAAAGCTATCCAGAGAGACTTTACCCAGTAAGTGGCCCTAGTAGTTATACATTCAGTAATTGCCTCCTTACTTCTCTCCTTCCCTGTAAAGACTCTAGCACTCCTTTCTTCCCAGTTTCTCAAATATGGCAACCAGTTTCTTGGGAAATGCCCCCAATGAAAAATGGTAGTGTTGGCGAGAACCTGCTAATAGACCATAAACCCATAACCCAAACCTGTAATGGAACCATTCTCCATCTCAAAAATGACAAATGATAATTGCATTGATAGTGTACTAAAAGGAGGTAAGAGCTTCCCTCAAAGCTATACGAAAAGGTATACTTTTCACATATTCATATGCACATTGTAAAAACAAAAGGAAATTTCTTTCATATTTCAAAATATGGATCAAAGATTATCTGCATCCATTGATCCCTAAAATGCTTGAAGGTAAATCCTCAAAACTTCTTTAGAACACAAGCCCATTGGCTGATTAGTCTCTCAGCTTTAGCATTAATACTGTCTTTGGATTAAGACAAACAAAATCTGGTTCAAGCAATAGTTTTTTGAATGTCGTAATGTAGTAATGTATAAAAAGTTTTATAAATAGCCCCTATATGGTAACTCTACAACACAGATCCCCCCTTCTCTCCTATCAAAACTAAGTAACAAACTTAAACAAAAAGTGCCTCCCAAGAGAAATAAATCAGGTGGTGCACGATCCTCAACTCCTTCACAACAAACCATGAATAAATTGTAGCCATTTTTCTTCTAATTACCACCTCAATTTCAACTCCCCTGGTACCAAAAAATTCTACTGTTCTGTTCGTTACACACTGTCCAACATAGGAACAATTCTCCAAACTAGCCTTCCCTTTCTATTTAGCCTTTCAATGTGTCACCCACCCCTCAATGACTTCTTGTAGTGTTTTAGGAAAACACCACTTGGTGTTGAGTTTCTACAGAAAATAATCTACCCTCATGCATATTTTGGCAGAAATTACAGTTATATGTTTTGAGGATCCTTTCCTTTTCTGACAGTTGGTCTCTTTTAAGACATTTACCAAAGTAATAACAGCTGACTAGAATACTTTGGCAGAAAATACAGTTATATGATTTGAGGATCCATTCCTTTTCTGACAGTTGGTCTCTTTTTAGGCATTTACCAAATTAAACACTCTATCTAATCCAACTACTAATAACAGCTGACTAGAACAACTAGACATCCAAGTTATGGATTTGAATTTGATATTTTGGTTGCCATCATGACCTCTTCAATTCCGTCAAAGAGTCAGTGGTGACAAATACATCACATCAAGCAACCATAAGAATGTGAATAACTTAATGAAATATAACTTCTTTATGAAGAATTATGATAGATCCCAAGCAGGTAGCCCACCTTCAGATTACCAGGCTCACAACTGTTCAAGAAGCCCAGGCCCGCACAAGTCGTGAAGCCCATGCCTCCAGAAGTGGACAATGCGAAACCTTACAACCCTCCCCTGCATTTTGTTTACAACCGCAGGCCACGTCAGGACCCCCCACATGCATAGCTTGCGGTGATGATGAGTTGATAAGTAAGAAAGCCTATATAAAGCCTATGGGCAGTACAGAATAGACAGAAAATCATAACTTGTTTCTTCTTGCTCTTTCTTTTCTCTCCCTTCTCTTTGAAGTCTGTTTCTTTTCTGGAGGAAGGAGCTTCCTCGAAGAAGCTCTATTGATC